TCCCACTACTGTATGTACTGTACTGTTTATTTATTTATTTATAATTATAATCTTGTAAATTCTTTTAGTTGTTTACAGTAGTAGAAATAAACTGTTGTCTAGGATAACTCAAAAAGTAACCTGGTGACCCCGAGTTTTATTTAATCAATAGCTTTTGGCATCTGAAAATGAAAATGCACAACAATTTTGAAATAATTTTACGGAGCCGATTTCTTGTAAACTTGTAAAAACGGCAATTTGCTCAAAGTGCAAATTTCCTTCCGTAGAATTTTTTTTTCTGACGTTTCCTCTCAATAATAATATTTTATTGAAACAATAAAAAGAAGGGGTCACCGGGCTTGTTTTCATGTAAAAGCCTTCGCGTGTTCCGTTGTTCCCACGCGCGTAGACACGCATTCAAAAATCCAGACTTTATAAGATAGGCAGCTGCTCATGAGCTGTTTTGACTACCGCTGACTGCTTCATGTGCCCGCGCGGGCGAGCGGGCTCCGAACAGGCGTTTTGTTTTGTTTGCTGCTAAAAAATCATTTACAGCTGTAGTTGTCGTTTAAGACAACCTCCTGGGCTTACTCTGTAGGATTTTTACCCAAATTCTGGGTAGATTTGTTATGTTTTGCGAGTCCTTCATACGCTCCCAGTGGCTGTCACGATCGATCGAGTTGCCTTTGAAATTTGGGAAACATTGAATTCCCGAAACAGTTTTTCTTAAAAACAGAGAATTGACTAAGGTTGTTCTAGCAGGTAAAGCCTCCTTTATATGCGAATTACGTCTCCAACAGTACAAAAGTGACCTTGCGCGAAAAAAGCCGCGCGCCGCCATATTAGTTTTGGTCTTTCGGGTTTTAAATCTCGCGCCTCTGTCGTGCGTGTTACTTATGCGTGACGCACGATGGTGATCTACTCCCCGCGTATGTTATGCATACACTACAGTATTACAAAGTGCAATTTAAAAAAAATGTGTTTTACCATGCTCTTTTTGGTGTAATACGAATGGCCGGTCATGGTAGCTATTATGCTCGATTTCCAGCCGTTTTGGGAGTCTGGTTGTTAATTCTCCTCTCAATGAACGGCTGGATCACTGGTCTGTATCGGTTGTCCCTGAAATTAACATGCGAGCAGCGCGGGGAGAAAATGGCAAAGAACGCAGGTACACAAAACGGCTGAAAATCAAGCCTAG